TTATACGTATCTTTGATTGAAATTTTATTAGAATTTCGAAACATTATTAAATCGGATATTAAACCTTCGGAAGAACGTTCTAATCCAAAATTTGTTATCAATGCTTTTTTGATATTTTCCCACTTATCATAGTGTCTTGCTAAAATTATGCGTCCTGCGCGCCCTGACAAACGATTAAGAACAATTCTCAATAGGTATTGCACATCAGAAATTTTCGCATTTTCAAAAACGAAGTCTATCGTTTCTACGTATTGGTGTAACGGCACGTTATCACCATCGAAATGAGGTATTAATTCTAAAAGTTCTCTTCTAGAATAATTTGCATTTTCCTCTAATTCAAATGAGGTTTCCGAAATATTAGGATTCGACATTTTATAAATGTTTATAGAGAATGATACTTAAAAAAGGAAACTACTTTTTAGAGAAAAATTGGTACAAAAGGGGTAAAAGGAAGTGGCAAATAACTTAGACCACCTACCTTGAATATGCTGCTACGGCGAAGATCACCAGGTAGCCAAATCTCATTTGTCCTCTGCGGAAGAAAGTGTAGGCGAGACCAATCATTTTCTTTTTCGAAACGTTCGGGTGTCCGTAAGAGGCGAAAGGCTTCTTGGGGAACACACTTAAAAATTCGGCAGTCCACAAAAAGTCACGTTATTTAAATTGTCCGTATTCGACTGTCCACAATTGGGCCACAAAACACGGGATGTATTTAAATTGTCTGTTTTCGCACTTTTTCTTTCAACTTACGAATTAAACGGACCCGAATATCCTACTGACTGCGCCAAATGTTATATTCCAAAATTGGAACAAAGACTTTTTAAAAAAGTTTATTAATACAAAGTACAAACTATANCAGCGTTGCCAGTCTGTACGATAATTATGGGGACATACGATAATTTTGCATCAAATACGATGTACGATATCGTAATTCAAATTTCTATTAAACGTACGATAATTCGTGCTTATAGTATAAAATATATTTTGAAATAGTAATATGTAGTGGGACTATGACATTTGTTTCTGCCAACCAGTTGCCTTTTTTCTACCTTCTTAAAATCTTTTGTTAATAGAACAAATGGTCATTTGAACAGTCTCTGGGTATCTTCACTCCATAAAAATACAAATTCTCTCTAATTTACAACAGAGCCGGGCAAACTCTTTTGATTCTCGAAAGTCAGGAAAGTTTTTATAGTGTCATCTATTGATGGTATAATAGAGCTGAGAAAACCACTGGGGTACACAGACTCTCTTTACAAATTCATACTCCCCTCACTAGACTATTACTCCGATGCGCAGGCGCAATAACGTACGATATTTTTATGTTAATACGATAATTTTTCTTAAAGAGTGCGATAATTCTATCTACTGAACCTGACAACGCTGCGTGACTATGACGTATCATAAATGACTATGAAATTTTTAAGGTTATATACCTATACAACACTTATTTGCACCGAAAAAAGCATTAAAACACCTTTTCTTCGACGTTTTCTAATGAGTTTCTTATAAATACACCTTTTTTAACTAAAACCCGTACTACAGGATTAGTAATTTGCAAAAAAAAGTGTTAAAAAGGCCCTCCCCCGGATTATTTCATGTAAGTTTTTCATAATTAGGCCATTTTACGTCATTTCCAGCATTTTCGGAAGTTTTACCCATAATTTAATAGTAACGGTCAGGAATCTAATTTAAATTGATTATGTTATGTTCTCTCACCTTAGTAAAAAGTAGTGTTCTAAAGTTCATCAGTGTATTGAGCAAACCAAATCTAGGAATGATACCACTGCAGACAATTTGTTGTTTCAGTGGCTTCCAAATTAATTTCCAATTGTCTCCCATTCTCAGGGCCAAAATTAACTGCATAATGTTGCAAGGTGAAGACGTCAAAAACAACGGTTGTTTCTGCAGCATCAAAATTAACTGCTATTTTCCTTCTCGTTTGTTCGTTAGACAATCTACAGAAACGGGCAAGAAAAAATAATTAATTACCACTTTCTAAAACACATTGTTTAAAAATTGTCTATTGAAGCAAGTTAGAAATGTCTAAGAAATAGAGGTGTCTGGGATCTCATTTACTATTTCTAATTGATAGTTACTTACCAGTTCACTGTCATGAATATTTTCTACAGCAACAGCACACTGTCTTTTTATTCCCAATGGAAAAAAGGCACTTCCATGCTTTCTTTAGGACCATAAGTACACATCTACTTCATGGAGCAAATGAGGAGTGATACAACAGATGCTCCTTAATTTAATGGCATCTTGTGTTTTCTAATGTTCCTGTAAAATGAAATCAATGAAAAAGTATTCAGATACAGTTAGTTTAGCTTCCCTAGTTAAAGTAATGTTCAACCGTTTTTTCTGTTAATATCAAATAAACACACTACATACACTACATATAATACAATAATTTTAAGATATGAAGATACTTACCTATATGGTAGCACTTTTATAAGAAACTTTTTTTGATATCTTCAACTATAAAGCAGTTATTGAAGAAACCCGCTTGCTTGCGAAACCCTGTATAATATAGTATGTATGTATGCTCATCTTAATTAACTACAAGTCTCCCAGATGATAACTTAACTGATAAAACACCATAGGAGACGACTTGCTTTTTCACTTGTATTAAAATAAACTTCAATCTTCTCACTCATTTATCTTAGATAGAATCCGTAGAAATAGAGAAATAACAATATATAATGAAATAGAATAAAAATACTTACAAAAGAGCAAGTAAAATTGTAAAATTCTTACTTTTAAAATGGCGATGAGGAATGTCTTCTTTCATAGATGCATAAAATTCATAGAAACATCTATTACGCCGAAAATTTAATTTATTCTGCAGATAATTGCGAAAAATAATAATATACAGTATGAGTTAATCAATCTAACCTTTCGAGATATTACACGTAGAAAAAAATTAACTCGACAAGTTGAATTTAAAAGACGCAAACAAAACATCCTACCCCTACGAACGGCTATGCACTTATAATGCACCAAACGTGTCTCAAGCTTGTCGCCAAATTGCGATAGCTACTGCACGAAGCACTGATGACGTAGGCAAACGCCAATCAGAAGCGTCAAATCTGATGTCAGCGAGGGTTTAACCAATCGCGTACCTAGTTTCGTCCCCGTTTTACAGAATTGAGCTAAATGTGTTTTTTGCTTCGTGAGAGTTCTATCGCCTGACCACTACTCTAAACATAACGGAATACACGAGCGAGAGACACTGGAAACTTAAAAAGGGAGCATTACAGAAGAAAATAATGCTACTAAATTGAATTACGGATGTTCTGGTATATAAATTATTCAAAGATGAGACAAAGACCTACTTCAGAAATAAAACCATAATATTAATAAATACCATGTATTATCAACCGCAATCTGACTGATTCATAAATACACAAAATAACGTACTTATTTTACAATTATTACAATTTAATCATTAGCAAATAAGTATGTATTATTTCTGTGGTTTAATTTATACGTAATTAAATCAGAAGATTTCTTAGTTAAATAAACTCTACTTATTATCGTTAATTTATCTAGTTTAGTGATCTTAAACTACACATTATGACAAAAATGTTAAATTTGTGCGAATTGCATACTTTGCCACAAATGACCATTTTTTATCGCCTCTTTTATTTTATTCCAGGTTGAATTGACATGTGCCTTCCCCAAAAAGATCATCCATTTACCCACATTGTCTTCTTCATCATCATCTTCATTTTCATCAACGTCGTCATTTTCTGTGTTGTTTCTTCATTTATTTCATCATCATTATCATAAGCCTATTGATTATTTATAGCCCAGAGCCATGGCGTTTCAGATTTTAATATTTCAGTTGGATTGAAGGTACAATCATTTACAACTTTCTTTCGACGTATATCATATCTAAACAAATATTTACTGTTCATGATTATTTCAAATAATTGCTGTTTATCAGATATCACTGATACGTCGATGCACTTTATTAGTCACTACGCAATGCAAAATAATCAACTGTTTCTCTAATTCATGGTAGGTACATAATATACATATCTGCGCTCCCTTTTATTATGTGTGACATAGTGGGAATAAACTAGAAATGATAAAGATGGTAATAACTTCTTGCTTCTTATGTCATTATAAACTATCTCTAAGGGGGCCAAGACTTATCCAAACAGACAGAATTTTTATTTTTTTTTTATTTACCAAGCGTTGGAAATGTGGTGTTACATACGAATGATGAGGATACCGTGGATAGAGAAGACTAGAAATGAAGAGGTATTAGAGAGAATAAGAGAACAAAGGACTCTATGGAAGTTAATAAAACAAAGGCAAGATAGGTTGGTAGCACAACTTCTCAGCCTTGAAGGTCTACTTAGAGACATTTTAGAGGCAGAAACAGGAGTTAAGAGGAATAGCGGTAGACCTAAATTAGATTATTTTTCGCAAATAGTTAGGGAAATGCGAAAATCAGGATAGGAAAGAGTGGAGGTACGTGTCCAACCAGTCTTAGGATTGATGACCTTATTATGATGAGCAACAAAAATTTTAATTTATTGACAGTGGAGAAACGCGTTCTGTACGCCTGTTTTAATTAATACAATTGACTGGAAAAAATAAATACATTCTTAAAATACTGGTTAATATAAGTGGTACCTACCTAGTTATTCAATAGCAGCTGTATTGCAAAAATTATAGAGCGTTTTTATTTAATGATAGAATTATTCCTATTACCTTGTTCAAATCCAGACTGAGTTTTTGCGATTTTTCTCTTGATCATTGCTAAATTACATATCCAAGAAAATTGCACTCCCGGAAGAAGAATATCATGTACACCAGGGGGGAAACAAACGTGCGTCTTACAGAAAAGCAAACTGGTAATAAAATAATGATTTTCAGCTCTCTTTCAATCGATGTCTTTCGATTTGATTTTTTATTTTTTTTTTTATTT